TATGTGGTATTCAGGTCCTGAGTCTATGCATCAAGAAACTTTCCTTTTTGTCTAAAGTGCTTGACTGAGGCTGCATCTGCACTGCAGAAATAATCCAGTTTGACACCACTTTAACTGCCATGGCTCAACGTTATGGAGTCCTGGGAACTGTAGTTTGTGGTGGTACCAGAGCTCTCTGACAGAGGTGGCTAAATGTCTCTCAAAACTGCAATTCCCAGAATTACGTAGCATTGAGCCATGGCAGCTAAAGTGGTGTCAAACTGGATTATTTCTGCAGTGCAGATCCAGCCTGAAATAGCACTTCAGTTTCAAATGGCAACAAATCAGAGGGGCTATGATGTTCTCAGTTAAAATGTTTAAGTACTGGTTGTACAAGTTTTCAGGTCAGGATTGCAGACTTGTGATTCTTGAACCATGTATGTATATAGGTTTGTAGTTTTCCCTACATACTGATGATATTCTATATGTCTACAGCCAACCACATACATAAAAGTACAGGACTGGTACGTGTTTTCCCTTATATAGTTGGTCTGCCAGTCTCCATCATCATCATCATCATTGCACTATTTCTTGGAAAGTCACCATGGACTAGCAGCTGAAGGCACATGGACCAGCACTAGTCTCTGGACCACTACAATAAAGAGCAATGTATTCAAGTGCTGAAATGGCAAAGGGTGTTTCTTAGAAGTCAAGACTCCTTTGTCTATAGCCAGCAAAATTTCTGAATTCTCATGGTAGATCGGAGCGTCTTATATGGCGAAAAATACGGTAGTTATCTGTAATAGCCACCAATTACACTGTAAGCCATCTCAATAACTTCAACTAATAGGCAGGGCATAAATACTGCAAATAGGTAATTATAATTATAATACTGCAAATAGGTAATTATAATAGACTATGGGCCTCGGCAGACGACTAATAGAGTCGTCTTCGAGGCCCGGAAGAGGGGCAGCCGCACAAACGGCGCCCCTTCCTCTTCCTGAGGTCGCCCTCGGAGTCGCCGGCCCTCTGCACGGCCGGCGCTCTGGGGATGACCTCACGCCGCAGCGACCGCATGCGCTGCGGCGGAAGAGTCAGGGAAAGTGCGCCCACCGCTTTTAGGGCACACTTTCCCTGACATCTAAAAGGAGTGCCAATTTAGAGCTCCTTTTAGGAACGCCGCAGGAGCGCCGTAGTGCGGAGGGTCCGCTCCGCCGGCGCTCCGTCCGCCGGCGGCCCGGAAGCAGTCATCTGCTTCCCCCTTATTTTATTATAAAGTGTTTTAAGCACCTCTGTAGCTAAAAAGCTGAATAAAAAGTGCATAAACAAACCACCTTGGCATTTCTACTATTGGAGATTCAGCCAAATATCTGGACAGAAGGTGCATTTGCAACATTTTGCAGGAGATGCGTGCTCTCAGAAAACGTTAATCTTCTTTTGATGAGGTCCTAGAACATATGCTTTATTTACTAGAGTTTACATAATATGAATGAACAAAGGCAAATATAAAGATCATCTTAATTGATGAATATGATGGTAAAATAAGTACAAATTTCAGATTCCACTCCCTAAATCTGATATCAAACTAAGTGGCATACAGAAGAGGAAGATCTTTCGCTAAACAAAGAAAGGTAAGGGACCACAATAAATCTTAATCTGCCTATGACATACATTCTTATGTATGTCCCTTTTGTTGTTGTTTTTGTTAATGATGGAACCAAATAAAGTATTCCTATTTATCTTACACTAGCAAATTTAATAAGTAACCATTTATTATATGTAGTATTCAAATAACATTTTCCTTTGTGTGAACAAACAATTCTAAAGTTTATACCCAATGACTTGGAAACACTCATTACTGCATATCTTTTGTTGCTGTTGCCAAGGTAAAATACATTCATTGGGGTCTGAACTCATATTTGAGAAGGTTGAACTATAATGTAGCAGGTAGCTACTGTTAGAATTCTATTTTCAAACAATAAACAAGATTGACATCATTCCAAGTGGCCATTATACTGGACTAGGCAAGCAATATGTATTAAAATAAACCTGCACTCATACACTACATGGAATAATATTATCTTCTATTACACATGATGCATTCGGTCATTTCAGCGGAATGGCTAATTTGCAGTCACAATTCTAACCAAGCAATAGTTGACAAATGCCAGACAGTGTATTATAGCATATAATTTTTCACGCCGCATTTTATTTTTTACCCTTATTGCTGCAAAATCAATGCATTCATTTCCTATAAACCTTAATAAAATGCAGAGCAGTCTCTGCCTGAAGGGTTACAGTCTAATAAAATGCACATCACTGATATGAATGCAAAGCATATGGCACCATCTTTTGAGAGAAATTAACAATGCATATTATTGTCAGCATATCCTTGCTGTATGGGTAAAAAAATTACAGCATCTGGATTATAAAAGTACTATAGGGTGGGGAGAGGAACAGTTTGTAAAAGCAGGTTCAATGAAAATATAGTTTTGGCTAGATGAATGAAATAAAATTAGGTTAAAGCCAAACTCTATTTTTTTTTTTATCCAGGCATGTGCATATTCATGCGGTATGTGCAACTATATTGCCTTTGAAACCCTCAGGCATACACTCCCTTAAATTAAAGGTTGTGCAGGAGTTTAAAGAGTGAAACAGACCTATTATGAAACTTTGAAAATCAGATTTGATAAAGCTTTGTTCTGCAAGAGCTACCTGGGCTATTCCAAGAAAAATAAGGAAATTATCCAAATAAGTGTTGTAGATCAGTGCTACTCAAAGTGGTGGTCCCTGGACTGGTGCTGGTCCTCAGCCTATTGGCTCTCAGTCCATGGCAAGTTCCCAAGACAGAAAAAAAAGAAACAACTGTAGCCAATGGACACCGATATGGTGCCACTCCCATGCAAACTGGGGAGAAAAAGTCAATTTCTCACATCAGATAGCCTGAGGAACACTGCTGTAGAAGA